AGTCGGTCTGTTTCAGCATTACCGCTATAGGACCTATAGAGGCACCCGTAGACGCGGGGATGGTCGTCGCTGTCTACGCGTAGACAAAGAATGGACAGGTCCGATCGTTCACGACTGCCGAGGCGTCGAGAACAGATGTCTTTGTCGAAAACAGACCGTGCTTTGTGGCATTCCTTGGGGGAGGCCTATGTTCAGCAGTGGACTTGTGAAGGGCTGTAATGATGATGATGATGATGAATTTGAGTTTTGATATTATAGAAGTAATTATCAACTTAAGTACTTTAAGAACTTTTTTAAGTTAAAATCGTTATTATTTCGTCCCTAAAATATAATTATTATATAACTGAAAGTAAATCCGATTTCATAAACTAAGAAAATAGTACACAATAATAGTTTCTGATGCAGGGCTCGGAACCGGTTTAAAAAGATCGGTTAATTTCGATTAATTACCGGTAAATTTATCGCTCTTTCAGTCACCGGTTAAAAAATTAACCGGTTTTTATTAAACCTAAACGATAAAGGTTACCGCTTACTTAATGGTTTTGACACCCTAATTAACCGGTTAATTCCGTAAAACGTAAAGGCAGTTATGAATAGGACAGGTAGATTCACGTTGTGAGGTGCTTTTGCGGCATCGCCGCATGCGGGCATACTTATCATCAATTATCTGCCTTTAAGCGATACATTTTTTCAGCCACGATCAGAGTGTCTAGTGGGCGTTTGGCGTTTACAATAAACGTGAAAGTATTACAGAAGTTATAAAGAAAGAAAGGCAGTTATTGTGTTTGGCTTATTCGTTAAGTCTGGACTTGTCTCATAACAAGGAAAATAATTTATTTTTGTGTATCGGTTGTTTATTTATGATGGGCAGAAAAAAAGTAAATAGAATTTATTCCATGTTTACGTTTTAACAGTGGTAGAGCCACGCGGCAGCTTTTGCTGTCGCATGTATGGGCCAGCTCAAACCAGGGTAGTATCACGACATCACAGAATACCAGCGTGAAGTAGAAGTTTACTTCTGCGTTTCGCTTGGTAAGTGTTGGTAGTCGGAGACCCCCCCTCCCCTTAAAATATGGTGGCGGAATCATTATATTAAATATAGTGGCTATATAAGGTGCTAATATATCTATTATAGATAAAATAACTTTAACGGAAATCCCCCATAAGTCTGCCGTTTTCTTAACATCAATAGTTTTAAAATATTTAACGATATCTTTTGGCAGTACTCTATGAAATTTAAAAGTATTTGAACAAGCCTTTACATTTTGTTTGAGCAATGATTCGGCGATAGTAGGAGAAGAATTTAATGATTTAGTTGTCAAAAAAAGAACATCAGTAAAATGTTTCTCAAAAGCCATAGCAACTTCTTGATCAGATCGCGTTAAATTATTGTTAATATTCAATTGAAAATCCGAGTTGCGCCGTTTGACCTTGCCCGTTTCACTATTTATTATTCTCCAGGTCATTTTAATTTTGTCGGATGCAGTTTTAATTTTGTTGCTTAAATGTAAAGCCTTAGCAGTGGAGCACACTTTTTTAAATATTTTAGAATATGTTTATATAAAAGCTTTTAGAAAAATTTACTTCGCAAATATCCGCGTTATAAAATAAAATGATGTGTCTTACCTAGTATGAAGAGCACCTCCCGCCCTTCATACTAGGTAAGACACATCATTTTATTTTATAACGCGGATATTTGCGAAGTAAATTTTTCTAAAAGCTTTTATATAATGGATTTCCGCAAAGTAACGCCTGATTCTATTAAATATAATATGTTTTTACATAATCTCTAAACATAACACTACTATTATATGATCTTTCATCATAAAGCTCGTATAACCTTCGCCTACTTTTATAAATTTCTACTGTCGCCCATTCATTAAATGATTTGCGACAGTTAAAAGAGAAAGTTTTAGAAGTAAATATTCTACTAAATTCACAACTTATAATTTTATATAATGTACCACACAAATAGTTAGCACTATTTTTAAACGAAAGTGATGGAAGTCTTTTTATTATATTACTTCTAAACCTCTCCAAGCGATGTTCATTTATTGGAACAACTTTCTTATTTTTCTGCTTTTTGTGTATGTAATGTAGTGATACTAACTGTCCACAGTGGTCTGAACTTAAATTTTGAATTATTGATTTATGCAACGGCCTAACATCTGTAAAAATGTTATTTATACAGGTTGCACTAGGCCCAGCAATACGTGTTGGTTCTAAGAATAAATTAACAAGATTATAAGATTTAAACAATGAGCTAAACTTAATAGTAATGGAAGAAGTTTCAAGGAGATTGATGTTAAAGTCTACACATATTACAACAGACTTGTTCTGTTTACTAAGTTTGAGTAAAACTTCTTCCACAATCCTTTCAAAATAATCATAAGTAGCACATGGGGGTCTGTAAACACTTACAACAATGAGGTGCTCGAGCTCAACACAAGCAATTTCTACAGTTTGCTCAACAGAGAGGCTCACAATATCCTTACGTTCTTTATATAATAATAACTTATTTGTTAATATTAAGGAGCCACCACGTAAACTTCAACAGACGAACTGACTACCTGGTGATTTCTGAAATTAAACATGAAATTATAATATTTTAGCCAATGTTCAGTAATACAAAGGATGTGTATGTTGTTACCATTTAAAAACAAATCAACTTCTAATTCTATGCCTATCATGCATTGTATATTTTGATGCACCAGGTGTAAACAATTTTTATTACTTATTTGTGGGCTGTATTCAAAATTAATTAAACTCTTATTATTGCTAGAGATTGCCTCTATTGTCACATTCACTAATTTAAATTATTTGGAACTGATTCCAAATTAAATGTCAAATGATTATGCTCAATAAAAGCAGTCTTGGTAGCCAAAAACTTGGCTGAGTGAAAAGTTAAATAATAAGATAGCACATTTGCTACCAGTCTTAAATTATATTTGGATAGGTAATACCTATCTTTGGTCCAAAACTTTTTTATTAAATTATTTATATCAACTACATGAAATTTATGATTTGTATCATTACAATTATATGTCAAATTTAAATTAATATTACATATTAAATTATGCATTTGTATATTTAAATTATGTCTTAAATTATTTTCCTGTGGCATTCCGTGTATATAAGGCAGTGTGAACAAGACAATTTTGTGTACATTTAAGTTATTAAGTTGTTCAATATATCTTAATAACTGTTTGTTGTTGACACTGCCTCTTCTACCAACAAAAATTATTATTGTACTATTTGGGCAAAATTTAGTAACAATAATTTTATTTAGGCAAAACTAATAATGATGATTATGAGATAATATCTATAAATGAACATTGCTGAGGTGTCCTGTATGCTTTCCTATACCATTCATCCGATTGCAATAAAACTTTATTTATTTCTTGTTCGCGCGTTCGAAAAGGTGTCGGACAACTAAATGAATATTTACGTGTATATTAGTTCATTATATATGCGTTTACAGTAAAATTTTGGTGAGTTGTTGTGTGCGCACCTCCGGATGTTTATAATACAAGAAGCACTGAAACGCAAGGACTGTTTTACGAGGTTACGATTATGAGACCGTAACCTCGTTAATTACATTAAATGATTTATTTTTAAATCCAAGCAAAGCTTAGACTTAGGGCGGTTTAGAAAGTGCGCGTTATAAATTCTTTAAGTCGTAAGTAGGCGGATTACATGAGCACGCGAAATTAATTTGAAGTATGTACCATATTATAAAATGTACGTTACTGGGAAATGGAAACTATATATTGTAAGTTATATGATATATAATTTCATTTTTGTCAAAACTATTATCTAATATAAGTATATAAATATACCCAAGTGCATGTACGACAAAGAAACTTTCTTTCTTCATTCATCTTGCTTTTTCTGCTCAAGTTTTCAGAAATCATTGATAAAGATCTAAGCAGGTACGCTTTAGTTGACCTATTTATTGGTTAGTTTTGACAGGTCTCATTTTGATTTATAAAATGCAAGCGTAAGGCTTTTAATGCCTATTAACAACATACACTAGATAATGCATCTTTCTAAATTTTGAGCATGCATGTTTCATCACGGACAAGACAAAGGTCTTATCTAACAACCGTGTTACAACTATGCCGGTAGTTGTTCGAAACTACGCTCAAATTTGTTGACGATTATAACATTGCCTAGGACAAATTGTTCGACTGAGTAAGTCCAATTTCGACCAAGAGATCAATAGATGAATTTAAATCGGTAGATAATTTGGGAGATTATGACATACCTTCCCGCCATTAATTCTTCAAAACGTAGAAAATAGAGTTCACAGCCAGTGCGTGCTACTAGACAGAGTAATATGACATGCAGGAAGTCGATGGATATTGAAAACTGAGGACCGTATTTTGTGGTATTCATGTTGAGGCCTGTGTTCAGCAGTAAGTCTTGTAAGGGCTATAATGATGATAATGATAATGTTTCCTCACGATATCTTCCTTTAACACTGATTACGTGGTTAGTTACTTAAAATTGCAATTAAGAATTTAGTAGTGCTGATAAGCAACGCCATTGCTCCATTTGGTTTAATATTGTTATATCTTTTTAAATAATTCAAAATATTTAAAATTATTATTATGGGACAAAAATAATAATATTAAGTAAGATTTCTAAATAAACTTTTTATTTCTATTATGTATTAACATAAAGCACAGAGATGAGAAGTTGAGAACTGTAATAAAAAAAAACTATGACATGACAAAAACATTTTCCGGGAGGCATAGATACAAAAAAAACACACCAAGCAGCAAGGATTCCTTTTTTTTTTTATAGGGCAGGCAAAGGTAACATGACTTATGTTGTATACAGTATGCATTATAAAATTTATCACTTAACACTTCCACTTAAATTTTAGAATGATTACAATACTATACTTAAATTAAGCTTCAAACCAGCTTACTTACTGTCCACCAACAAAACTAACCTTTAAACCTACTAAGTATTTAATATTATACCTAAAAACCTCAGTTTATATTCAGTACTTGATCTCTGTTAAGAATAAATTTACCAGAAGGTAAAGCTTTTGTTAAAAAATCTGCAAGTTGATTTGAACTTTTCACATATTGAACATTTATTACATTTTGTTCTACCTTTTCTCTGATGAAATTATATCTTATGTCTATGTGCTTTGTTCTTTTGTGGTAAATAGGATTATGAATGAGTTTAATAGCACTCTGATTATCTATACATAGGGTTATCACCAATTGTGGTTCATCAATATCAATTAATAACTGCCGAAGCCATAAAATTTCTTTGGCAGCCTCACTTGCAGCCATATACTCTGATTCTGTAGTTGATAATGCCACAGTATTTTGCTTCCTGCTAGCCCAAGAAACAGGTCCACCATTCATCATAAAAATATATCCTGTATTAGATTTTCTAGAATCAATATCTGAGGCAAAATCAGAATCAGAAAAACCTACTAGTTCTTTGTTACAATTATAAGTAATACAAACATCTTTTGTCTTTAACAAGTACCGAATAATTTGTTTAACAGCATTTACATGGTCTTTACTGGGATTATTTAAATATCTACTAACTACATTCAAAGAATAAGAAATGTCAGGCCTAGATACGGTTGACAAAAACATCAGGGCTCCTACTGCTTCCCTATATGGAAAATTAATGTTACTCTCACTATCGTTTTTCTTTAAAATTACATTATTGTCAGCAGGGGTACTACAAGGATTGGCATCTGACATGTTGAATCTATTTATAATTTGTTTTATGTACTGTTTTTGACTTAAAGTAATTATTCCATCATTTTTAGTTATTTCCATGCCAACAAACATATTTAAATTAAATTCTTTTATCTTAAAACTTTGTTTTAAATCATTTATAATATGCAACAATATACTTTTACTTTTTGACAATAATAAAGCATCATCTACATACAAGATCAAGATAACTTTATAATTATTAAAATGACCCACAAATATACAGTTGTCAGAGGGACACATTTCAAAACCATAAGTAGTTAGGAAAGAAGAGAATTTTCTATTCCAACAGCGTGATGACTGTTTTAGCCCATATATTGATTTTATTAACTTACAGATTTTCCTTGGCTCAGCATGGACACCTTCAGGCACCTCCATATAGACATCCTCTGATAACTCACCGTACAAAAATGCTGTTTTGACATCAAATTGTTGTAGTTCATAATTCTCTCGAGCTGCAAGAGATAATATTATTCTAATGGAATCGAATCTTGTTGTTGGTGAAAATGTTTCCTTGTAATCGACGTTCTTAGTTTGTGTAAACCCACGTGCACAAAGACGAGCTTTGTATCTTTCTATATCACCATCTGAATTTCTTTTTACACAAAATACCCATTTTGAGGTCACTGTTTTCTCATTATTTCTGTTTACTAACTTCCAGGTTTTATTTTCTTTTAATGACTCTAATTCTTCACATATAGCTTCCTTCCATTTATTACTATTTTTACAGTTTATAGCTTCTTCATATGTCGTAGGTACATCTAACTCAATAAAATTTGCTTCTTCATTTCTTTTCCTTCTAGGTCTCAGTGTAATATTTCTTTCATCATCTTCAGAAATTATTTGTGGAGGCTGGTACGTCACATCATTGGGATCTTCTTGTGTTTCTACACTTTCAAAACTAGATTCAGAAATATTTTGGTTGTCTCCTGGAGAAAATGGTATATCTTGTATGCCTTCTCTTTGCTCTTGTTCATCGGTGATAGAAATTGAAGTTGTGTGTTTCCTCAGTACTGGTATGTTGTTCTCATTGAAGTGTACATTTCTACTTATTGTTATCTTCCCACTTTCAATATCAAACATTCTATAATTTTCATTTTCATATCCTACTAATATTAATCTTACACTCTTTTTATCTAGTTTTCTTCTTCTTTCATCAGGTATATGGACATATCCTTCTGAACCAAATACTCTTATATGTTGAAGGGCTGGCTTCTGTCCATTCCACAGCTCATATGGGGATACATCCTTTGTCTGGGTAGAAGAACTTCGATTTAATAAATAAACAGCACAGTTTACTGCTTCAGCCCAGAGATCCAATGAGATATCACGAGAGTACAACATAGATCTTGCACTCTCCATTATTGTCCGCATTTCTCTCTCCACTCTACCGTTTTGTTCAGGCGTGTAGGGTGCTGTGCGTTCATGAACTATTCCTTCACTATTTAAATAAGATTTAAGTTCATTGTTAACGTACTCACGTCCATTGTCTGTATGCAATATACGAGTGCCATGACCAAACTTATTTTTCACTATTGCATTGTATTTCTTAAAGCAATCCAGGACATCACTTTTGTGCTTGATAATAAACACATGTCTATAGCTGGTGGCACCATCTTTAAATAAAACAAAATATCTTGGTCCAGATACAGATGTATGTTCTACAGGTCCACACACATCACTGTAGGTTCACATTCTCCTCTACAAGATTTATGAAATGGCAAGCGGCTCCGTTTGCCATATTGACAAGCCTCACACACAAAGTTGATGTCATCCGTTAACTTTACTGGAATTGCACCATTCTTGCTCATGTTTTTCACTTCCTTCAAGTTTAAATGTCCCAAACGTTCATGCCAGATTTTCAAACTTGACTGTGCTAAATTACAATCTATTTGCACTGTGGTTTTAATATTTACTTCATATAGATTATTCTGCTTCAATGTTGCAGTCATAACAACAGTATTATCTTTTAATATTAAGGCCTCATTGTACTTCTTAATTATAACATAGCCTTTTCTTGTTGCCATGCCTTCTGAGAACAAATTTCTGCGTAGCTCTGGTACATAAAGTACATCTTCTAGAATACTTTTCTCCCACTTTCCATTCACACATCTATTAATTAATATATTTCCACAACCTTGCACCACTAGTTCCTTCTTATTTCCCAATCTCACAGTTGTACCACCACTATTCTTGCCATAATCCATTAACTCACTGAAATAATCGCGCCTGTATGACATGTGTGCAGATGCACCACTGTCAAGAATCCATGTATCTATATCTGCTTCAGACTGTAAACATTGCTCGGCACTGAATGCAAGCATCTTTTGCTCTTGAGGTTTCCTCTCAGACTTCTTTGGGGCTCGACAATCTCTTGCAAAATGCCCTCTCTTGTTACAGTTATAACATATAAATCGATGCTGATTATTTTGACCAGACGTTGAAATTTTTTGCATATTGTGATTCTGAAATTTTCTTTGTGGCTTAGAATGTTTCATGGCTACTAAAGCACTCTCAGATTCCTCCTCATTTGTCAAACTCGCCTCCTCATCTAATAATCTTGCTGTTAAGTTCTGAATTGTTTGAGAATGTGGATCTAATGACAGCCATGCCTGACGCAGAGAACGATACTTTGAAGGTAGTGTACTTAATATTTTTGTCATAATTGCTGTATTACTTATTTCCTCGCCAGTCTCTTTTAATTGTTTAGCTAAGTTCTCGACTTTGGAAATATGCTGTGCAATACTATCGGTTGATGACATCTTATATTGATAGAATTTCTCGTGCACCATCATTTTGTTCAGTTCCGATTTTTGTTCGTAAATTGATTCCAACCTTGTCATCACTTCCTTTGCTGTTTCACAATTTTCAATTAATGAGATTTGGTTCAGTTCCATAGACGAAGTTAATAGAAACATGGCCATGCCATCATTTTTGTCCCACTGCGTCGTATCACCCACCGTCGGTTTTTTTTCATGGATATTTAAACCTTTCGCTTTTAAGGCACAACTGACTTGAAATTTCCATTGTCGAAAATCCTTGCCGTTAAACTTCTCAATTCTCATTGAATTTGTGACTTCCATTTTGTTTTCTTCACTATCGAACACGTGCTTGTTTTCACCTTATAAGTTCTGCTCTTTACTCAGTTTATTACGAAGCGTACCTGGGCCCATAACCTATTATTATGGGACCAAAAATAATAATATTAAGTAAGATTTCTAAATAAACTTTTTATTTCTATTATGTATTAACATAAAGCACAGAGATGAGAAGTTGAGAACTGTAATAAAAAAAAACTATGACATGACAGAAACATTTTCCGGGAGGCATAGATACAAAAAAACACACCAAGCAGCAAGGATTCCTTTTTTTTTTTATAGGGCAGGCAAAGGTAACATGACTTATGTTGTATACAGTATGCATTATAAAATTTATCACTTAACAAAAATATTTAAAGGCTGGCAACGCATCTGCAATTCCCCTGGTTCCCCTGGTGTTGCGGTTGTTCATGGGCGGCGGTAGTCACTTACCATCAGCTGAGCCGCATGCTCGTTTTCCCCCTCTCCTATAAAAAAATTTATATTTTAAAATAAACTTTATAACGAGAAAATTTAATAAACTAACAAGACGAGCTAACGAATAACCGCTTTGGAGAGACATTTTAAAACTCAATCAAGAAAATTATTTGCTTGATTGAGTTTTAAAATTTACCTTTTACACTTTGCGATTTGAATATAAACTCGGAAAACTTTGATTTAAATTCATTCCTAAAATTAATAACAAATTTAAATAACTTTTTAATTTGATTTATTTTAAATAATATAATAACAAATATTAAAATCCTTTTTGTAGCGGTCTGCAATTAAGTATTGTAAACCATAACCAAATATTGTTCGCAGATTCGTTTTCTTTCTTCACCAGCACAGCTCGTAGTGATAAAAGTCTATTGATAGCCTTTCCCATTAGAAGGATTTGCATTAATCACCACACTTGGCAGGCAATCTTGATATTTTACATCGGAGGTAAGAGAAATGGTAATCAGTACGGCAGAAAGTTGTAGTTGTACCAGGTACTACTACTTCTCATCGACCTATATATTATATATAATAACCGAAATAAGTACTACGTACGCAGCACTAATAGTCACAACTTTCTCGGCGTACATTTCTATAAGCACTGACTAGTGTGGCATACAAAATGTTCCGTGACATATGTCTCGGAACATTCCGCGTAGTTGTTGAGCGACATGTAGCATAACATGCCGCTCCTTTTGTCCCCAAGTATATCTAAGGCTTTATAGTTTGGTAGTGTTCTGTTAGTGTTAATTACTACAGCTTCTTGCCATCTGGTGCCACAGTTACTGCGGACTGTTATTTCTAGAATTACAAATGATGGTGAAAAATCTAGCACTTAACACTGTAGAAGCAATGGCACAGAGTGATTTACAAACCATATTGATAAACTGTTGTTCGCCATAACTTCTTCATGTCAACGCCCGTTCACAAATACTGCACAACAAACGTTAGCATTATAAGTAGAGCTAAAGCTGGATACTGGTCTTTATACATCATATTCTCCATACCTTATTTCAATACACTTCCACTTTTTTCGAAGTTTAGATAACTTTTTGATTTGCAAAAATTTTAGTATCAAAGAAGCAGTAAAGAACGCCAAGGAAGAGTTTATCGATTCCAGTGCAACAGACGCAACAGGCACAAGGGACACCGATAGCAAGAGTATTAACATACCGCCCATAAAATGACAAAAATATTAGTTGTTTATGCAAATATTTTCATATTTTTTCTGTCACTTTCTGTGTCACACTCGGAATAATGTAGAGTAGTGGCGCCTCTTATGTCACCAAAAACTAATCATATAACAATAAGATTTCATTTATTACATAATACACAAGATACACAAGATTATTAAATAATTCTATTATATTTGCTACAAGACCCAAATTTTATTTCTGACTAATATTATTAGCCAGTCTTACCAATAATCTTGTTCTTAATGCTAAAATGTCCCCTGAGATAAACAAACACAGGCACAGAATACACAAACAATGTTGAAAGATTAATATCTGGGGAAATAACTTTCTTATCAAACAATAAATAACTAGAATTTAATTTATTTCTTTGAACGAATAAGGCTGTCAAAGTTCTGCTGCAAGCTGCCAATTCTGATCAAGTTTGTTCACAATAAGGCAATTATTTTTTTATAGAATAAGGGTGACAAATAAGCTTACAATACACCTGATGGTAAGTGGATGCTGTGGCCCATAGTATGACAGGCGGATTGACCATGGCTGTATCTGAAACATACCCGCCGTTAATAACCTTATCAGCTGCGACAACCTTGCGTGGTAACAATGATATTAAGCCCTATTAAAGATGTTAAATATTAATTAACTAAGATTCGCGTAATTAAATAATTAAATAAATAATAAAATTATGTGTCTTACCCAGTTTAAAGAGCACTTTCCGTCCCCCGAATTTATTCCCTTAATCACGGTAACCACTAAGAAGAGGCACACCACCGTCTATAATACGACGCGTGTTTCGCCTCTAAATGAGGCATCCTCAGGTGTGAAGTCGACTCTGCGGTGGCTTTTATTTCCGCAAAATAACCGAATTATAATAATAATATTATATTCTTCTTGTAGTAGGAAGTCCCACACCCAGCAATGGATTGTTTAAGCACAGAAAAATTCTCCAAAATAGCGTAACATAAATAATATTTCTTATCAAGTACCGTCTACATCCAAAGCTTAAGATGATATTATGTAAAACGTTCGCGTATTAGTAGTCTGCTTATCAGAGAAGTTTATTGCTGATTTATCGTATATTTGTACAATCATTACAATCGTAGTTTTGGACAGAAGTACGAACCTGCAATTAGTTGTTTGAATAATAAGTTCCTATGAAAATGCTTATGGTAATATGTAAGCGCTAAAATATTTTTTAATATAATATTCATTCATTCACTGTACATTTATTAATTTATTCATTAATTTAACATGCATTGATTAATTTTCTTATTCATAACATTACAGAATCTATCAAACATCCATTGCTGAACATAGGCCTCCAACATAGATTGCCACATAAGGGGATATTTTTCTTGTGTGCCATGCTTGGCTAGTTATTATCAAGAAAATGATCTTCTTCTTTCAAATTTCCCTCTATCGCCTGTTAGATTATCTTACGCGATCACTATATGGCAATTTATACGGTTTTAGTAAAACATAATTAATAACAATTTATATGAAATGTTTTTGAGCCATATTGTAGATACAAGAAAAAGAAAATATGTAAAGATAGCTATATATAATATATTCTCCTTTATAGTTCAATTGAATT